TTTCATTTGAGCATACGAAGCTACTGGGAGGAAACGACAGAAATCAGGAGCCTTCGGCTTACAGAGCCTTCGGCTAAACAGAGCCTTCGGCCACAGGGGGGTCCTCAGCATGAGTATTCACCTTTGGCATCAGAAGCCTTCGGCACATACAGCCTTCGGCATAATGGAGCCCCCGGTTAGAAGAGCCTTCGGCCCAGCACCCTTCAGCCGAAGGCATCCACCTCGACAGAATATCCTCTCCACATGCGCCTGGATCACCGTACCAAGTACAAACATCACATCCAACCACCGCATTTAATGCGGCCACATGCGAGTGCCAGTGCCACCCCGGTTGAGGTGACCCCTCGACCACCAGATTGTTGACACGTGTCCCTATCTAGCATTTATTGCTGCTATAAATAGCAGCCCCTTTCCCCATTGTAAACCACGCTAAGTTGACATATTCAAATACACTCTCTCTCTTACTTATTTGCTCTGACTTCTCTGTAGTTATTCCCCGAAATAACCCCTCGGATAAACTACCCCCCGGGTACACTATCCATCATGAAGTATGGCATCAAAAGGAGTTAAGAAGAGCCTTAATATGAAAATATATTCTTGAGTGTATACCACTTAGGACTTCACCCTCTAAGATGTGATAAAGAATTAATCTCATCCGTCGAAATTGTCAATATGATGCAGAACAACTTTATTTGATGAACAATTTTACTTAAAATTGTTGTAAAACTACATAACATTTAGTTAATTTGTTATGACCCCAATACCTATATTTAAATAACAATTTTAGATTCCTGATTTGATATTTTAATATATCAAAATAAATAAGGTTGGAATTGCTTTTTTGCTGAATTGGCTGAAACTATTGTAGAGCACCATTTTAGCTATTTGTCATGAATTTTTTTTATACACATAAAATATGTTTAAAATATAATTTTTCATAAATCACCAAAAGCAGCTCATGCAGTCACTTCAGTCATAACTTCATATCAACCGATTCAATCAATTTCATTGTCACTAAACGGGCTCTTAATAATTTTGTCACAAAATTTATGGCTGACACTATGGAATTGTGCATTCCATCAACACATTTAAATTTTGAAAACACGTACGAAGTAATTTTTAATTTTCTAAAATCAAACCATATGATCAGTCAATTTTTAAGCAATAAATAAATTAATGTCTAGCAACCTAAAACATATTCCATATGTACTCCGTATTAAATTTAGATCAGTCCATTTTAACCCATTTCAGGCCCAACAAATAACCCAAACAAACCAACCCAGTATACTACACTATCAAAACTTACGTGTCTAGGGCTTCGGGGCTGGTGTTTCATTTTCATTGCGATCTTCATTCCCCAAAAAGTCACCATTACACTCTCACCCGGCGAACTCCGGTCAACTATCACCACATCTCCGGTCCCTAACTGACAGAGATTTCACAATCGCTTCCATAGGTAATCAGATAAACCGATCTTACCCACGACGGAGTCATGTTCGAAGATCTTCCAAGGCTTTGGTAGAAAAAATTCTTAGATCGGTACTTGCATGTCATAGTTTTTATAAGAATCTATTTGTTAACTGCAAGTTTTTGTTACATACAAATTTATTCTAAAACCGGTATGGCAGTTTCTGATTTCGTAATCCATTTTTCTTTGATGATATAGAGCGAGGGTTCTTACTCAAGTACACTTACGGAAATCCCAATTGAGATTTAGAAAATTTTAATCAAATCTGTTTATATCTTTTACATATCTACATGATAATAGGTAGAATAAAGATTTTTATAGATTTTCTTTGAATGGTAAATAACAATATTGTTAAACTTGACAGGCATCTTGAGTATAGGCGAATCTGCTAAGAAAATTGTAGTAAGACACCGAGACACACCCGAGTTCAATTTACTTTCATTCTCTATGTAATACTCCGTATAAAGGATAAAAAATTGAACAAATGAATATGCACAATTTCAGAACATTTACGGAGTAATAGTTAACATAGTTGTTTTTTAAAGAGAACTAAAAACATAGAGAATGAAAATAAATTAGACTCACATGTTAAGGTAAAAAACATAGTTGTTCTATTATAGACTTATGGTGGCGGTAAGATACTCCACATCTAGGTAGCCACTATGTAGTGTGTGCTTGACCTTAACACTCTTTTCTTTATTTAAAAACATGTCAACCAACTGTTTTTCTTTAATTACCAAAGTTGTTTTCTCTTTAATTAAGGAGTAACATCAACTAATGCTTTATTGTTATTACTTCGCATGGCATGTACCGACACTTAAATAAAAAATAATTAAAATCCCTAGATATGATCTTTTTCAGTCCTCAACTCACTTGAAAAAAGATATGTTAGTTGTTTAATTCCAATTCCCTTAAAGCATATAGACTTAAATGTTAATACATTTCAACAAACATAAGTAGCTTTAATGTTTTCCTATATTTAGGGGGAGATTAACTAACTAATTTATTTATCCTTACTATGCACACATGAATCATCTATAAGGTGATAGCAGCAATGAAGGTGATAGCAGCAATGAAGTATTGTTGTAATTTTTTGTGATAATTCAACACACTTAAATTATGTTTACGAATGTTTTTTTTTTGTATTCTATATCTCAAAATACACTTTCTGAGAGATTATTTCAAATAAAATATTTTCATTGTAACCAAAATACGCATTTTTCAGAAGGGGAAAACATGTTTTTAAAACAACAACACTACTTTCTCGAAGGTGCTATTACAAAGATATATCAGATCGAAATTCACACTTATACTTGATTCCATAACAAATTTAGTGTCAAGATTGACACTTATATTTGATTACTGAACATATTCAGGTTTGGCATTGAAGTTTCTTTTAGAAATTGCTATTTTATTATCTTCCGAATTCTCATTTTTGTTGAGAGCATTGGGAATATGCATAAATGAGCTTATTATCTTCCGGTTTTGCATTAGCTGTATCGTTGCTTCATACGGTGACTGCTTCTTTGTAGTTATTTCTACTTGAAGAAGATAGGTGTCAAGATACGGTGGCCTTTACCTCTTATGCTTATGCTCCCTCGAGTTGTAATCTATTGGCTTTCTACTTTTATCAGTTCAACTATTTTACTTTTCATTTCTCATTAAGAGAGGAACTACTTGTATGGAATATGAATATATGTGTGCATGTTGGGTTGATACTCTTTCGTTTTGCAGGCTGAGAATGAAGAGGGAAAGAGGTTGAAGAATTGAGTGGGGTATTCTCTGGGAAATAATACTCTGTAGTATTTATAGGGAAGTGATGATCTTCCTATAAAGAAAATAAACATGTCCCAAAGAATAGGTTGTCGAATTTTGATTGGCTTAAAGTGTGTACTATTTAACTTTTATTTTGAAGCCATTGGACAGGACTTGATTGTGGACTTGATTGGACAGGACCTGATTGTGTACTATTTAACTTTTATTTACTTTTCTACTCCGCATGTATGCTGGAAACGTGTACCAATACAAACTTGACACCTTTTACATACGCCGTATTTTTCTCCTTTCCTTATACTTTGCAGAATGAATTCTTTTTCCTTTTCCCTTAGGGATAATTTTTTCTTTATTATTAGCTTGAACTGTTTCTTGATGCTGACATTTCTAAGCGAGAGACTATTCCCAAAATCTTTTGCTTTTATATAATGATAGATTAAAGATTTTGGAAAGATTTTGGGATACGATTTGTCAGAACAATGAACATGGTCACTTCTTTTCACTATTTCTCTTTGTACTTTTTTGATGTTGATGTTTTTGAGCGGCAAATATGTAGCAAAAAACATTTTGCTTTTAGATTATAATAGATGACAGTATGTCATTAAACTGACATTGTTACTAAAAAACTTACACTTTAAATATGTCATTCTTGTTTCAAAAATGTCATGAGAATGACATTATTACTCTTTCGAAATGTCATGAGACGTCATTCTCTCTTTTGAATTGTCATCTTGACAAATGTAATATCATAAAAGTGACATTATTACAAAACAGTGTTGGATTAAACATCAATTATGACATTTTTCATATGACATTTTTCAAATTGAATTGATGAGAACAATAATATGAATCTTTTAAAAATAATTGATTAATACAAAAATGGAAATCCAAAAGAAGAAGACAATAGAAAATTCGTAGAAGAAGAAAACATGAGAGCTCTAGAAGAAGTTAACAAAGAGAGGAGCAGAAGAAAAAGATGAAGAAGAATAAACTTTTACATAGGCATGTAGCAGAGGTCCGCCAACCACATTCATCCCACCAGCGAACATTCATCCCAGAGTCATGGGTTGCATTAGTCAAGGCTATTTTTGTCCAAATACAAATAATTAGTCATATTTAGGGAATTTAAAACAATATGTCTCGTTTTTGCAATTTCAGTTTCTTTTAGTCTTATTTAGAGAATTCTCATTATCCTTAATTTTTGGGAGAATTTGACTTTGCACCCCATGTTTTGGGTGAAATTTGACTTTGCACCCTATTTTCAAAATAATTAATATATGCACTCCAATATAATATAAAATCATTTGACTTTGCATCTCACTCCTTCACAATTTTAAAACTAATGAGGTGCATACATTAATGATTTTAAAAATAGAGTGCAAAGTCAAATATCATCCAAAATATGGGTGCAAAGTCAAATTCTCCCTTAATTTTTTCATAATTATATTGATATACTATCCTCTGTATCACATTAATTGCAACATTGGAATATATACACTATTCATGTACTTTACTTTGACTACATTTCATTTATTAATGTATGTGAATTATTTTTTTTGAAAAATATTATTAAATTCATCTCATTACTAAGTTTTATAATCTGATTTTTATTTTATTTTTACTAATACAGAATTAAATATAATGACAGTCAAAATTGTACTTTGCAAATATGAAATGTTGAATATTTCAACAAAAAAAGAGATCGAGTAAGTATCGATTTTGTAATCATTGATATCCACACAATTCGTCCAAAGCCTTTTCTTTTTTATTAGCATTCCAGACGCGATGAACACCATAATGTCTGCATCTCTTTTTAGCTCCCACGTATTATTGAAGAAGACCCCCTCATCATGTTTGTCTCTAAAAAATGGTGTTTTTAGAGACCACTTTACGGTTGTAAGCTCAAGGTTTCAAGCGAACTCGAATTGGCTGGATAATAACAAGGCCGTGAACAAGTCTATGAAGGAGGGGTGTTTAGGAGACTCTAGATCAATCAAAGTTGAAGAGGCTGAAGAAGAAGATAACTCCATTTCCAGTGGAACATCATCTACAGCTACTTTCCCCACACTTGATAAAGAACTCAATAAGGTGACCCCTACACTCTTTCCACCCTCACCGTTTCTTTTAATTGCCCTGCAGCAAACCATGCTATTATAGCTCGATTAAGAGTAATTACAGCTTAGTTGAGTTAAAATTGGAATCGTAAATGATATTATCAGTTTATCACTTTGTATTAGTTTATTGTCCTTAAAGGTATGTTTTTTTTAAATAAGCTCAAGAAGCTAATTATATAATACGTAGTGTTATAATGTATCCTATGAGGATGCATTTGAAAATTGAGTTGAGGTCATTGGTCTAAGCCAAGGTCTTACTAACCAATCTTGTTCTCTTCACTTGTCTGATATGAGACTCCAACAAAATCTCAGCAGGAAAACCTAGTCAATAAGTGAATAAGGTTAGGAAGTGTAAACATATAAGTTCTAACCTTGAACTAGACTAGTCAATCAATGGGATTTCATTTTAAGTATAATTTGAGTCTATTTAGATTTGGAGTTTCATCAGAAAAGGTGAAGAGTTTATGTGTTTGCATCCATATACTTGACCAGTGTGCTATGGCTTGATACTTGCAAGCTGTTATTTGGAGCAAACCCATCTTAAAGTTCACGCTCTTTTAAAATTTGAGTTGGATCAATTGCTCGCTTTGAGCTTACTTGGTTCAAATACCACATTAAGACTAATACTCTCTGTAGTCTGTACCATATTAAGATTTAAGGCTCCATTCTAAATATCAACATTATAAGAAAAGTAGCCCGGGGTCTTTTATATGATTTGTATCTTTATAGTTTATACTTGGCCACTGTGATATGGATATCATGCGCATTATTACCCACCTAAGTAATTTGACCCAATAATGCTCTTCATTACAAGAAATGTGGATAATTTCTCAATAATAATTGTGTTAGACATTTGAATTTGACTTGAGATTTTCTAATCTCCTTCGTGGGGTGCTTGTTTCTAAATAAGCCCAAAAGGCTCAACATCATATAGAAGCTGTAGTATGTCAATGCATGACAATACAGTGAAGAATTTCATCTCTTACGCCTCTTGGGTGCAACATAAAAAACTTTTTTATTTATAATAATATTAATAATAAAAATAATTTGTTTATGAGGGATTATTTTGTAGTTGTGCTAAGAATCTGAAATAAATATTGGTCTCATGGTAATCTGCTTAAAACTTTGCTTTTTGGAAAACACTATCAGGTGGTTCAAAAGACGGCTGCTACTTTTGCACCAAGGGCTTCAACTGCAACAAAGAATCCTGCTGTAGCTGGAACCACATTATACACTGTGTTTGAAGTCCAGGGTTATATCTCAATGCTGCTAGGTGGGGCTCTCTCATTCAATCTCATTTTTCCATCAAATGAGCCAGACATATGGAGACTCATGGGGATGTGGTCCGTCTGGATGTTCAGTAAGCTCCCCAATCATCTAATCGTCAACCAGAGTACTGTACTCTGTTGCTGTAATATGTTGGTTGCATTGATGTCTTGTACATTGTGTTCAGTTTCTTGTACTCTTCGAGCAAAGCAAATACTAGGCTATGAGTTTCAGTACACTTCATGGCGTTCTTGAATAGTTTCTCGTAGAGCCTGATACGGGCAAATAAAGAGAAAACAATGGCCTTATAAGATAATAGGTTGAACTAGGCAACTAGCTAATAGATTAGATTCAATCTTTTCATATGGTTTGATCCAAGTGCCTAATAAATTCGCAATATTGTTGCTAGCGCCTCACATTAGAGACTTAAAAAGAAAATAAGATTGGTCAATAATTGGTCACATTGAGTTTGATCTTTTAGTGTGGTATGACCCTAGTATCTTATGATCCAGTTGAGTGACTTTAACTCAATCTTGCATTCTATCAATCATACACTAAACAAGTCCTTATGTTCCATTTCAGCTATTCCATCCCTTCGGGCAAGAGATTGCTCAAAGAACGAGAAAGAAGCACTCAATTATCTCTTCCTCCTTATCCCACTACTAAACATCACAATTCCATTCTTCTTGAAATCGTTTTCCGTTGTTTGGTCACTGGATGTTGTAGCATTTTTTGCAATGTATGCATGGAAGGTATTTTCTTTTTCCTTAAAATGTGTATTGGTATGAGATTGATACTTGTTTAGAATTTGAAATACATTTCTTCTTTTTTGCAGTTCGGATGGCTTCAGAAACAGTAATGGTGTAATGAATAGAATTTAGATCCTTCATGCCAAATGATCATTGTCTTGGGAACCATTATATTACACTCTAGCTTAAGCACATTTGGGAGAGAGAGAGATTTGGATGCTTTGAACTTCTGTTTAGTGTTCAGTTGTTCACTACTTATTAATTTCTAAGAAAGTAAATATGCACCCTTTTCTGCCAATGTGATCTAGCCAAATTGGTTAGTTATGAGGCCTCGAGATGTAGAGGACCTAGTGCTTTTCTTTTTACACCTATTGTCACTTGTTATTCATATGTACAGCAACTCTTATATTTGTACTGTTGATTCTATTGTTACCTTAAAATATATACATATTTTTTACAATTTCAAATTGAGTGGTGTATTGCTCAATTTTATGTCAAATTCCTTTGATTGATCAAGTATGGTTTATTTTTTCGTTTTGCATAGAAACGGGCCTTATTCTGCTCCTGAATTGCCCAGACCTGAATTGTTTTCAAGTTCTGAACCAAAAGCAGTCCAATTCAGACTGGCTCCTCCAAAATAGGACCAGACTGGCTGTTGCCCGTCTTTTCTAGAGGCCAAGAAACTGCTAAGGAACCAAACGAGATCGGTTCTAATCAATGTGGTATTGCCGGTTCTGGTTCCTACATTATGTGTGACCACTGACCAGAACCAGCGTCCAATCATACTTGCCGCCGTGCGCCTTTTACTGTGAGTATGGCTTAAATTGTAGATGCAGAAATTTCTCTCTTTTGTATTTAAAAATAGATATTGTTGTGTGATATTCATGTCATGATGCATTAGAGCGTTGTCAGCATAGAATTAAGCACTTGACAGATAGAAGATGATTTGAACCAAAATTTTAATTAATCTATCTAAAGACTATGCCCCTAAGCAGCAGTGGAGGTGGGAGAAACCTCGAAGTTCCTCCTTTCTATACATAGTGATCTTTAATTTGAACACCCTTTTTTTTCTTTGTTCAAGTTTTTGAACTCTGGCCTACTCATACAATTGCTTAGTTCAGCAGATACATATGTAATTCTTTCTTGAATATTAACCAAAACTCTGACCCGCTGACTTTAAATCTGATAAAAGAAGCTCCATCATTTGATTCCTAAACTTGAATCAACACTGGTCTGCTACTCCTCATTGTCGTCCGAGGAAGCTGAACTGCTCCCATCATCTGAATCACTGCTCGTACTTTCTTCATCTTTGTTGTCAGATGGTGGGATTGGATGTGAAAGTGGTTCTTCTGGTACTGGTTCATCTTGAGGAGCCGTTTGTAGGAAACTGAGAGCAGCTACAACGTCACCGATCAAAGGACGAACCGATGGCTCTTCTTGGAGACACATGGCTGCAACTCCAACAGCTTGATTCAAACCTCTCACCGGAAATTCATTGTTCAGAAGTGGATCTGCCAATTCTGGGAACCTCTTCGGTTCCCGGAAAAAGGGTTGTGCCTATTGGAATGAACACATGATTGTAAATGATAAACACATGACCAAACCTTGAAACTTTGTTGAGTGAGAAATTGTCTATATCCCCCCCCCCCCCCCCACTATATAAGAGCTAGATTTCAATTGCTTATGGTTCTATCATAGACGTCAATCATGCACCTCTTTGTGGATCGTGCAACCTTTTAATTTTTCTTCATGCATATTTATTTCATATGGGGTTATATCTTGACTGCCGACCCCAAAGTCTTTTGGGATTAAGGATTGGATGCTGGTGTTGTTGCTGGGGTTATATCTATCATGACTGTAGATCGGTTGACTCTAATATCCTAAATAATCAACCAGAAACAGTCTAACACTTTATATGTTGATTTGTTATTATTTAACCGGTTCCAGTATGAGCAAACTCTTTAGAGAGTATTGCAAACTTACCCAATCAACTAGATTTTGCTCATCTGTAGGTCTTGCAGTGTCAACAGCTCGGCGACCTGTGATAAGCTCAAGCAGAACGACTCCGAAGCTGTATAAGTCAGACTTCAAGGTAAGTTCCCCGCTTCTTTCATACTCTGGTGCTGAATAACCATAGGTTCCCATAATTCTTGGTGTCATAGTTGGTGTAGTTCCTCCTCCACCGCCAGTGAGCTTGGCAAGACCATATTCAAATAGTTTAGGATTCAGGTTTTGATCCAGTAAGATGTTTGTGGATTTCAAATCTCGGTAGATGATGGGAGGGTTGGCTTTTTCGTGTAGATATTCAAGCCCTTGAGCAACACCTGAAGCTATTCTCATCCTTGTCAACCAATCTAATGGCTCCTTCCCATCTTTCTCTTCTACATCCATCATGTAAATAAAATGAAACAAGTGTGTGGAATGAGTTATTAAGACCCTTCATATCACAAGTTTATATGAGAAACTGCCTTAGATAGGACCAACATGTTTTGGTACTCCAAAAACAGCTCACATTTTATTTTTCTTTCTTAGGACTAAAATATGTGAAATGTTCATGTTATCATTGTTACAACTTTCCTCATTTTTTATTGCTGTGATTTTTCAATAATTCAGCTGCATGGGTAGGCTAGAGTAATTATATACTCATCATATGTGCTATGCAATTATCGTCGCAATTTTCACTATGGGTCATCCGGAAACAGTCTCACAATACTTTTGGAATGAAAATAAAATAGATGAACTAGTAGAGGGTATTATATTACCAAGGAGATGGTCTGCAAGAGAACCGGTTGGGGCGTATTCATACACCAAAAGTCTTTGTTCTCCATCAGCACAATACCCGATGAGATTGAGAAGATTAGGGTGTTTTAGGAGAGTTAGGAGGAGAACTTCTACAGAGAACTCCTTGCTCCCTTGTGTTCCATTCCTATCTAGCTGTTTCACAGCCACAACCTACATACAATTTGTTAAGTCATCACACATCAATTCAAATAGATATAAAAACATCATCCAACATATAAGGTATCGAGTCATTGCTCAACCTATGATGCAGACTATAATGAAACGAAGTGCTAATACGCTACACAAGCTGTAGAGTACAAACTGAGAAGGGATTTATATAATAGAGGTAAGTTAAAATACTAAGAATAATACCTGCCCATTATGAAGTGTACCCTTAAATACTCTTCCAAATCCACCTTCTCCAATCAGACATTCTTGTCGGAAGTTCTTTGTCGCAGTGGCAAGTTCACGGAAGTTGAACGCCTTGGCATTATTAGAATTCCCAGTGTCTGAGGCATCGTTGTTGCTGGCAGCTTCAGGTGCCGATGCTGCTTTTGTCGGCGTTCCGGTCACTGTTACAGATAGGTTAGGATATTTTAGGACCCAAAAATGCACATCTCCACGATGACTGCCTAAAGCAATCCACAGCACCAACATCTATTCTTTAGAAATGGACTAGTTTTAATTTTTTGAATGGTATGCCTCAGCTTGGTTTACGGCTTTGATGAATTCTAAAAATTCAGAAATAGTCCAATGCTACCTATATGTTGTTTGAATGTTTATACTTTTCAATGTAAGATGACTTAACACAATGTCTCTTGAATGTGTACATATCCACTTGTTACGGAAAGAACATGAATGGTTGTTCCTTGTTTCCTTCATGTTCTTTCTCATATGTTTTTCTATACTTTTTCCTTGTCCAATAGAATAAAAAGTACCAGAAGGTGGCGGGGTTGAGGTTGGGGGCGGTTCTTTAGGATGGGCAAGCGGTAGCTGGTGAGGTGGTGGGTGGTTGTCGCCTTCTTCCGCCTTTTTCTTCCGGAAGCATGGAAAGCAACTCATGTTTCAATCCTCTCACGGCAGCTAAAACGATTTTGTGCGCACGTAGTATATATATCCAACAATGTCAAAGACAAGAAGAAAGAATCTGATTGTTTTGATGACACCAACTTTTGACATCAAAACAAATTCGTAGGTGGTCTATGCATGCACATTGGATAATATCTATGATGAAGATGCATGATAATATGGGATATGATGTCAAATATATCATTAGCTTGAGATAGAACACTAATGGAAATGATGGTTCTCTATATTTTTCATGAATGTTGTCTGGATGTATGGAGAAAGAAGTCAGAAAGGGTAAAAGGGCCCTCCAGAACGCTGAAGAGATGAAGGAGGACCCTAATGGAGATGAGCTGAATGGAGGAAGAAACTCATTAGAGGAAGAGGGAGGATGAAAAAGTAATGCTTTTTTTTGTTTCTTTTTTTCCCTGTTTTTTTCGTTGAGCTCATCATAAAATCCGGAGAAAATGAGGGGCCTTGAATGGATGTTTTTGTTATTGCCTTGTTTAGGAAAAGTGGCGGATCTTCAAAATTGGGACTGTATTGTGAAAAATGAAACTCGATTCTTTTCGTTACACAATTTGTTCTTTCCGGTTTATTCACAAAACACATTAATTACCACATTTAATTTTTATATAGAATACATTTTAATTTAACATATCATGCTATAAAACTATTTCTGTTACTGCTGTTTTTAACCATAAAGTAAAATGCATAAACAATATTTTAATTATCCGCATTGTTACAATTTGATACCTTAAATTCTTAAATATAAAGTACAATAAATCAGTACTAGAACTTATGTAAATGTTTCAACCGGTAACATTATTCAATCTTATATATTAAGAAAACTTACATGAGACCATAATTTTATTCAATCTTATTCAATCTTATTCTTAAATATAAAGTACAATAAATCAGTACAATAATCTTATTCAATCTTATTCAATCTTACGATTAAGAAAACTTACATGAGACCATAATTTCATTCGTAGAGTTCATTATATATTACTATACTTTTATCATTGTAGATTGTATGTATGGAATTCTGGTTGTCACATGGGCATTTTTGGCCTTAAATTTGAATAATGTTGTCGGTTGAAACTTGAAACATTTACGTATAATTAGGGTAGTGATTTATTTCATTTAAGAGTTAAAGTACGGAGTATAAAATTACATCATATCAACATTTAATAATTTTATTTTACCCGTCAATCATTTGTGGGTCTCTTATTGTTTTTATTATTTACGGAGTAATATGATTCTTTTACTGTTATATTTATTTATTAAATATTAAATATTTGGTCGCATTTATATTTGGATACTTTTACTTCACTCATCAAAGAATTAGTGAACTAACTTATACAAAGTATTACTTTATAATTCTTTACTCCAAAGTTATACTACATAGTACATATTTACATTACCTAGGGGTGGATTGGGACGGGTCGACCCGATCTGGGATCCGGCTTGGCCCGGCACTGTGCAGGCCCGACCCGATCTAGTTTTATTTGTCAAGTATATATTCAACTCACTCATTATTGCATGTGTAGGGGCAGGGCAAAACAGTTTGGTTCAACCGAATCGAACAAAATAAAACTAAAAATTGATATATTGATTTGGTTTTGGATTCATTGAAGTATATGGTTTGATAATAAAATGCTCAAACCGAATTTTGGATTTGGTTTAGTTTTACATCGAAAAACCGTTAACTGAATCAAACAATGTTGTATTTGTTAAAAAAATTGTACGATAATATTATCTTCACTCTTCACACTTCACCTCTAGACTTTAAGTAAATAACTTCCATGTGAGGAATACATGTTTAATATATCATTTTAAATTTTACAAGTTTCATGCCTTCCATATGAAAAAATTAGCTAATAAAACGTATTTGTCATGAGTTCTTCTTGGGTTGAGAAGATGTAAGTTTAGAAAAGACTTTAACATGTCACAAGTCCTACTAAGACAAATCACGTTCTCTTTTATAATATTTCGTTACTCCGTATTTCTTTTAGTTTCTTTCACATTTTATTTTAAATAATAAATACAACATGATGAGATGGAATCAATAAAACGTTCTCTCTCTTTTTTTTCGTTACTCCGTATTTCTTATTGTATCTTTTAGTTTCTTTCACATTTTATTTAAATAATAAATACAACATGATGAGATGGAATATTAATTTCATTTTCTGTTTCTAAAAAATAGAACTTTTATAGATAGATTTCAAGTTATGTCAAATACGGAGTAAATCAATAAGCATTTAAAACCGAATCAAACTAAATTGAACCAAATCATTTTGGTGATAGAACCACTCCCAAATCGAATAGCAAAGTAAATGATTCTATGTTGGTACAAACTTTCAAAAACCAAACAAATCGAAATCGAATTGATAACAAGAAAAGTCGACCTGTAAACTGAATTGCCGATTCCTACCATGGAGGCCATACACATAGGCGCAAATTCTGAAAATGGATATCTCAATCAAATGGAAAGATAGAAGTGTTCTTATTTAATCTTATCTTTCACTTCTATTAGACTCATTCAAAATAAATATACAAGTTTATATGAGAGTGATTCGACGGCGGATACGATTAGGGGTGGACCCGGGCCGGGCCGGTTTCGGTTCAGGCCTGGGCCTGGCCGGGCCTTTTTTTGGGAAAGGGAGAACCGGAACCGGCCCGGGTAGGCGACGGTTCCGGGTCGGGCCGGGTCCGGTTCATTTTTTTCGATTTCTTGTTTATTTTACCCCCCACCCCCAAACCCCTCGGAAATACCCAACCCAGCCCAAACCCAAAAAAACCCAAAAAAAAATAAAAAAGACCTGAACCGAGCCCGGCCTGGCCGGTTCGCCTTTTGCTTGACCCGGGCCCGGAACCGTCTAACCCCTCAGGCCTAGGCCCGAACCGGAATCGGAACCGATTTCCCGGGCCGAGCCGGTTCTAAACAGTACCAGGACGGGCGGCCCGAACCGAGTCCATCCCTAGATACGACCTACTGTGATATTGTAAATAAATTGAACTTATATTTAACGACAAAGAGATAATCAGAATTAACAGACTTGTCTTTCATGAAGTTAAAGAAATCAAAACTAGGGACCAATACTAAGTTACTAACTACATTAGTAGCTTAAGACAAATTTGATATTGCATAAGATATTGAGGACTACTTTCTACTATTAAATTCTACCATACTCCCTCCGTTCTTAAATATGAGTCCTCTTAGGCTTGGGCACGGGTTTTAAGAGGAAAATAATAGAGGTAGTGTAAAAAGTATAGTGGGTTGTGGGTAAATGAAAAAGTAGGAAATAGAAAGAGGTAATGATAATAAAAGTGGGGTATAGAGGTATTTTGATTGAAAAAACTTACCAAAAAAGGAAAGATGGACAAATAATTAAAAACATGTCAGAAAGAAATGCGAGACAGTTAATAAAGAACGGAGGAGTACTATGTACATAGCTATCATATATTACATTCATCTTTTATAACTTTTACAATATTCTTTTTACAGTTGCCTTATCCACTTTCTCTTTGAAGTAATAATTAATTACAATTGTTGTTATTTCTCTCTCTATAACACTGTCCACACATATTTACCATTTCACGTGCGCATCAATCTTTTGACAAAGGTATAAGAGTATCTTCAATGCTATAGTGTGCACGGTCATACACGTGACATGAAAGATAATCACATACATATTAACAAATAAATTATCTATCTCCTTATTTGAATGATTTTATACAATTTTGGTAAGTTTTCCCCTGCAATGTCAACTACAATGTCAATATCTAGACGGTCCTTGACATTGTGGAGAAAAACTTACCAAAACTGCATAAAAGCATTCAAATAAGGAGATAAAGAATTTATGTACTAATATTTATGTGGCTATCTCTCATGCCACATGTGCACCGTGTACATTGTAGCATTGGAGATACTCTAAGGTATTGAGGGAGTATTTTATTCTTAGAAAGTATGTTATTGTGATACTCCTCAATTTTAATCTTCATAATTGGAATGCCTAAACAAATGAGAGATGGTTCTCTATGAGTGGACTGGATAATGTACGATATCTTCGTTCATAGATCTCAGTTATTTTTTATTCAAACTAAGAGCATCTCCAATGGTTTTAGAGATAACCACATAAATATTAGTAAATAAATTCTTTATCTACTTATTTAAATGGTTTTACGCAGTTTTGGTAAGTTTTTCTCCACAATGTCAAGGAGACCGTCTAGATGTTGACATCACAGTTGACATTACAGGGGAAAACTTACCAAAATTGTATAAAATCATTCAAATAAGGAGTGAGATAATTTATTTGCTAATATTTATGCGATTATCTTTCATGTCACATGTGCACCGTGCAAACTATAACATTGGAGATGCTCTAAGTCAACCAAGAACCAACACTGGAGAAGTTTATCTTAACTCCACAGTATCAAAAGAGTTATAAAAGGGGTAACACAAACACAAAAAAGAACTAAACTATGCAAGACACATTGATCTTAGCGTTTACTTTCATTGCTCTACTTGAATAATTTGTTTGGTTTCGTTTTTGAGAAATATGGACCCGACCTAGGGATGGACTCGGGTCAGTCCTGGCCGGGCCTTACCGGGCTTTTTTAGTTTGTTGAGACCTGGAACCAGCTAGAGTAGCTACCGGGCCATGTCGGGCCGAGTCGGGCTGAGTACCTTATTTTTTATTTATTTTCTAATTACTTCCTACCCCCCACCCAAACTCATCCAAAACACTCAGCCCAACCCATTTACCTCCCAAATATTTCGAAAAACAAAAAAAAAATTGACCCAGACCGGGCCCGATCAGGCTGGTTCATTTTATGGAGACCCAGAGTCCGGCCCAAGAAATTCCGGTTAAGGTATATTGCACCCGGCCCGGACCCAGGCCGCGGGTCCAGCCAGTTCGTAACAATACCATCCCTACCCCGACCTACTTCATTCCACTTGGAAACTCTAAGAACCAACGATTTCATATTTTCATTTTATTCACCTTCTTCACTATATAATTAAGATAATTCGTATTTTTTTTTATGACTATTATAGTGACTTACTTCCTCCGTTCTTTTTTTGGTTGCAACATTACTTTTTTCACGCTTGCCAATGCACAACTTTGATCGTCATTATATTTAATTCTCTATTAGTAAAAAACTTTTAAAAATTAGATTATAAAATTTCGTAATGAGACGAATTCCACAATATATTTCAAAAATAATAATTTACATACATTAATATATAATATATAATCAAAGTAGAGTACATGAATAGTGTGTAAATTCCAATGTTGCAACTATTATGATACGGAGATATATATGAGTATATGCCACTGAGGTTGGTTGATCATATTCCACATAATAGACTGAAACACCCTTTGCATAAAATCAAACAACAAATGCATGCATGCCAAATTGATGCCTTCCATGAGTCCATCATGTTTACCAATGTCGACTCCACCAAGAGATTAAGCACACTTAGGGGCTGTTTACTTTTTTTTTCTATCAAGACCTGAATGAGTTAAGATATCTTTTTGGATTAAGATGTCTGTCTGGAATAAGTGACACTAAGATAACAAACTGTTTACTATGTGTGCTGAATGAGAAGTCTGAATTATATAGAATGACCATATAACCCTTTATTTGAAGAACTGCAGAATGTAAAATTGAGGAAATCGGTAGGTAGAACATTAGCTATTAATCAAACCGAGAACACCAAATTTAGTAAATTGAAGCCTCAAGAACTCAATTTCCTCCCAGCGAAGAAAACAACAAATAACAAATTGACGATGAAAGGAACAAAAGTTTTTGTGGAAGAACCCATCGTATAGCAACACCCATCAGTTTTTGATTTCTTCTCAGTTCTCCCCCAATTTGTATATTTTCAAAACAATCTGGGAAGCAACATATGAACGAGCTCAACTTGCTATAGGAAGCTTACACCTCAGGCCGAAGCCTTCCTTTATCTGCGAAGGCGTTTAGAGGCTCTAGATCTTTGTTCATTGATGAGCTCCGATCGACCAGATTTTTGGAGGCTGATAATGGCGACAATTGATACTTGATATACCTTGGAGAATTGCGATCGTGAAGGAGAAGTGAGCTGAGGGTTAAAAACAAGAACATCGACACTCAAATACGTCTGAAGTGTAATGAGTATTAAAAGTTGGTTGAGCGAATAAGTCACAAATGGTCTGACCGAATAAGTCATACGTAACATTAAGTCATAAGTAAACACATGTATATAGCTGGACGAATAAGTCATGATTTAAGTTCAGTCCATTAAGACCTAAGTAAACAGGGCCTTAGGCTGATCGAGTATGGGACTAACCATGTCTTCGGTCAAGCTTAGAGTTTATGGTTACCAGACTTTATGTCGAGCATGATTTACCATGATGTGCTGAAGATTGGGAATTGGGATTAGGCCGAACTAGGGATGGACTAAACCGGCCCGGCCCGGGCCGGCCCGGAACCGGCCCGCTACTGTGCGGGTCAGGACCGGACCGGGATCGGTTGGCCGGTTCCGGGCTTTTAGCCTGTTTGGGCGGGTCGGACGGGTCGGGCTCGAGCCCATTTTTGGGCGAATCGGCCCAGGCAGGTCAGCCCAAGCCCGGGTCAATTTTTTTTTTTCAATTTTTTTCTTTTCCTAGGGTAGGGCTGGATGTTTTGGGGAGGTTTGGGGGGTGGGGGTGAGGGGGGGGTCGGGGGATAACAAGAAAGCAAAAAAAACAGACATTGAACCGGGCCCGACCCGGTTAGGCCCGGACCCGGTATCAACCCGAGCCAGTTCCGAGCCCAAGGATTTGCAAAAAAAGCCCACACAGGCCCGGAACCGGAACCGGACCTGCCCAGGTCCATCCCTAGGCCGAACCAAGTGTATGCTAGGTCCAATGCAATATGACTACGATTGTATTTCAATTATTTTTTAAAAAATAATTTTAGGTAAAATAAATTATTTGTAGAATAATTTTGAGAACTACTTATTTTATTTGCCAGCCTGGGGAAGCGTCTCACCACATGGGTGTATAAAGAACAAGAGTTTCCCACCCGCACGGGTAGCTCAGTTGGTCGAGTGGTGGGAGATTTGGAACAATAGACCAAGATTCGAATCCCCGCAGTGACCGGATGGAGGTCACAGAACCTGAAATAAAGCTGGGTATCTGGTGCGCACGAGTGTATGGGCCTACTGTCATTCTGCTGACTGAATCACCGTGACTAACCTCCCCACCATCCTGTCGGGTCGGGGTGGGGGGCTCCTGGGGTGGGAGATTCCACCTTTTGGAACAAAAGAACAAGACTTTCCTCATCAAATTTTGACATGAGACCACTCAAAAATGGAACTCATAACCTCTTAATCACACAGCAGAATCCGTCTTAAAAGGTGCTTCAAGGCTTTTAGGCTCCCCTTTGATTTTGATAACTACTAATGTCTGAAAACTAATCATTCAATATAAGTGTACCAGATTTGTAACTTTGTAAGTGAAATATGAGAACTTTAGAGGACTTAACTTTCATCCTCCAACCAAACCAAAGCAATATCACTGTCATTAAATATGCGGAACCTGTTTGTAGAATGATTTTGATAACTAATGTTTAAACAATTAATCACTCAATTCAAGTCTCCTACAAATAATCAGTCAAGATAAGTCATCCTCCAACCAAACACACGCTTCTCCCCTTTCCACCCATTTATTCCAAAACCACTCAACAGGAAAAGGCTTAAGAATGCCAGTCATCAACAGCTTAACTGATTATCTCCTCTGTTTATACAAGTAAATGGCAGTAACATATTTGGTTCAGAATTCAGATTTCAGAAGAATGAAGATGGATTAGAATTTTAAAACCCAAAAAGAATTATGGAAAAGTAAAGTAACTGAAATAAATTTTGCAATTTAAATTTAAATTAAATATAATTGCCATGCGTATAGCAATAATAATGTAGCACAACTTTGGGGGAAAGAGAGAAGAAACTGATAAATCAACAAGTCAACACATCACTCTCCTTAAAATTCCTCTAATCAAACAAGGACTTAAAGCGACTTGTTCAGACCTAAAGTAAAGGCTCAACTATTTTTCCCAACACATTGTTGCTAATACGAAGTATATACCACACACACTGTATCGATGGGTTGTTCCACAACAGACATTACATTACATGCATTCTAATAAAAAGTCATATACAAACAACCTACTTTCCCGTCACCTGTCTATGGTATAAATGTCCAATATATATTTTCCCATCTAATTTGTCTCCCCTAGAGACTATTATCAGCACGTGGTTTTCTACTGCATATCTTAATGATCCAAGAGTAAACGTGATTTGTTCTATATAGCTATGAGTAAACAGGTAAACCCCACTCAGTCATAAACTAAATACAAGACGGTTTGAAATTTTCAAGAAGGAATGCTAATGAGGGTTTGAAATGTGTTGCTGCATAGCTACAATAACTGTGAACTGTTTGTATTCTATAGGGTCCTTTTGGATGAAGGATTTTGAAGAGAAATGCTTTGGAAGGATTGGGCAGTGTTTGCAAAAACTTAAAAAGTCGATTTTCATCATTTGGCTTAAAAAACAGAATTGTGTGTTTTCAAGTGACAACTTCTACTTAAATTAAACACTTAGAAGCTAAAAGATGAAAAGAGGTGGACAGACACTTTGAACTGATTTTCACTTTTTATATTACAAAAAATACACTTTTTACCAAACACTACCGACTTTTAATTTTCAAAAGCACTTATTTCTCAAACAATATCAAATTTTACTCATCATCATCATTACCCCAGTGCCACAAAGGCTCCCACCTATGGTGGGGTAGGGGGGGTCGGATGTACGCAGTCTTATCACTGCACTAAAGCACAGAGAGACTGTTTCCGTATGACCCATTGTGAAAATCGCGTCAAAAATTGCATGGACCGGCAACTGTCTCATAACAAAAAAGCGCAAACAATTTAGTGAACCATTTTGCTTTATTCCATCATACTCCTAAGCCAAAAGATAGTGAGTCCTTGACTCCGATGCAAATGATGGAAAGGAAACAATATCAAATTTTACTATTTTAACAATATCAAAGTAGAAGCAATTGCAAACACTCTCTTAGTCTATCTATATCTTGATAAATAGCATGTTCCTAAAAATGGATAAGATGTGATTGAAAGGTTTTACAATTACAAATTACTTTCCACTAAAAAACGACAAATTTCGTTAAACTTTCTATTTTATAAAACCTCAATTCCCCCGTCTCTCTCTCTCTCTATACACACATATGCGTGCACACACATACACTAAGCCCTCTAAAGCATTTCTCCCCAAACCCCTATATCCGAATTTCAAACAGACGGTACACTGATCCAGTCGAATCCCTGGTCAGGTGGATATCTTAGGAGTACTAGGTAATTATAGAGTTAAATTATTGTAGAATGCAGACCAGTAGATAAACAATCAAGTAAAGATAGATGATTACAGATTAGTACCTCATTTTAAAGATGAGAATGTAGCAGTAAACATAAAAGTAAGTAGATGAAATAATAATAATAATAATATTAATGATGATAATAATAATAACCATTTTAAGGATACAGAGGAGGATACAGATGTAGACAAACAGCAGAAACCTGTTTCACTTCTACTGCAATATTTCAAGAGGAATCCAGCCAAAAAGATTATATTAGTATTCCCATTCTTCTTTCTGGAAAAATTCGATAAAAGGTGGTATTCAGGACAAATTTTTATCATGATTACTTACCACACCTGGAAGGACCATTTAGTTTAACATTCTTAATCTTAATCTCACTTGAAAACCATGCCCGATCACTACAGCAGACATTTTCAGCCACTCAGCTTTACCATGACATTTAGATTTGACCTTCATAGATTATCATGAGATTCTGAGGGATCATATCTGTCATCAAATTTATTGTGCGAAGTGGACACTGATTTATAATCATCGTATGATTCCCTTCCCCTCCGTCTTCCATGCTCAATTCTCTCTTTGTGAGGGGTGTTATAATTATGTGATTTCTGGTGTTTTTTACCGGAACTGTGAGAAAAATCTTCCTTGTATGATTCTCTGTCACCTTGCTTCCTCCTCAGACCTGTTTGCCAATTGGTATTGGTTCTATCTGGGCTTCTAGAATATTCCCTTGTGCTATGTCCATTTCTCCCAACACTTCTATCTGCAACCATAGTACTATGAGAGTGGTTTGATCTGTCTTTGGAAGAGCCACTTCTGAAATCTGATGACCGGGATTCGAGATGAGAGTGCGACTCCATGTAGTGATGTGGATGTTCCCTTGTTAAAGATGATTCCAATTGACTCTTATTGGAGTTTGCATCATTGTGTGCTTCTCCTTTTGTTAGGCAATCAACTCCACCAGCTTGCTTAATACTCTCCATATATTCCTCTATTATATCCCTCATTACCTAACACATGGATATACCAATGAAATATGATTCCATTTAAAAAATAGAAAACTGAAATCAAAATGGAAAACATTAGGAAATTTCCTATCTCAAAGCCTGTCTAGTACCCAGATGGTAACCTTATCCGGATTTCTGCTTAAACAGAATAATAAGAAGATTTGGCTGACTTGTTTATTTGGCAGAAGTAGATAAAACCAAAAATTCAAACAACTCTTAATAAAGACAGGCCGTCACTCAAGGATTGGTAGATGCTTTAAATTTTGAATTGAAACTCCAAACTCTGATTTTCAAGATATAAAAAAGGGCAGTCCGGTGCACATTGGAGTCCTCGCAAGGCAAGGATCCGGGGAAGGGTCCCACCACAAGGGTGTATAGTGGGTAAGCCTTCCCTTGTCATTTTGACAAGAGGCCGCTCCCAAGTCTTGAATATGTGACCTCTTGGTCACAGTGTCACACATCAACATATTAATCGATTCTTTCAAGGCCCCCTTATCTGTTTTTCAAGGAAAAAAAACATTACAAAATGGTACCGAATGTCACCTGTGTTGTTGAACGCTTCAACTTCTTGCCACGATATGACATTCTTCTGCGCTTGTAATCCCTTTCCTCAGCTAGCAACTCCTCTCTTGTCTTTGTTTTATTTGTTTCCTGATATTAACATGTAGATTGAAATTAGTAACACAAAAAACATTCATTCCTTAATATTTTCTACTGGCGTGATGATGCAGCTAACCGAAAGTTAAGAAATAAAGTAATAAACAATAACTAGTGATTACTTACCACTCTATTATGAACTGGCTTGGATCAACAAAAAATAGATTCCTTGGGGGTTTGGGATTTCAAATAAAATCCCAATTTCACCAACAATTTTATGACCAAATGATGAGATCAAAAAGCCTTACATTTAACAGGTAGTCCATGATGTTTTCAGTATGTGACAGTTTATTCAATATACCCTACCTGATTGTTTGACCTCTGCCAAGGAAGCCCATCGTGATCAATTAAAGCTTTATAATTGGGCCGCTTTTGTCTTTCCTCATCAGCTCTTCTTGCCACGTCTTCATGCTCAGCATTTCTAAATGATGATTAGATCACAAGTTAATGCCTTGTGTGAAAGCAAAAGGTTCAGTTACCTGTTGAAGCTCACTGAGTAGTTGGACATAGGAAAATGATATATCAATATTGAATGTTAATGATCATTATTCTTGTTACCATTAACCAAATTCACTACAGATGAGGTCAACTAGATTCTAATCCGTATTCTTCTTGTCAAAGCAGTAAGGCAGATAATGGAGAACACATTTGGTTCTTTTACTTCTATGGTTTTATAATTTTCAAAGGGCAGCCAAATGTATTTACAAACTTAGAGCAATTAGGCAAGGGCCATGTTGCTGAAATGGCTGAACCTCCTTGATTTTCTGAAAGGAAAACGTTGGGTAAAAAACTACTTATTATGCTGAGAATAAGCCACACTTTTGGCTACCTATTGGAGACTTGACCCAGAGACCACTGAGATGCCGAACATTTAAACTTTCATAAACACAAATCTAAATTAGGCGTATAATGTCGACAGAAGGTCCAAATACTACTAAATAGTTGTTCTACGCTGTCATTTGCAAGCACAGTTTCTGATGCATAATGCCATGCCAAAACAAACAAAAACTATTTTGCAGTTATCAATATATAAACCGAGACGTCAACATACCTTTGCAATGCAGAAAGTTGCTGCACATTCTGTAAGGCTCTGATCTTTCCTTCAAGTATTGATCTTTCGTGCAATGCAGCAACAGCTGCTGCTACTTGAGAAACAGAAATCATGGTTTTACTCAGCCCTCCAGCTCCTACATTGTTTCCTTTGTTCTGCTTTGTACTTCTATTTGAATTACTACTTACCTGTGGCTCCTCACTATCTTTGTTGACTATGTCTAGTTTTGATATTTCTGTAGCTTCTGGAAGTCCAGAAAATAAAGAGTGCTCCAGTAATTCATCAAAGATGCATTTTGTTAAAATGTTAACTGCAAATAACCTACCGCTCATTTCACCGTACAATACAGATAGTTGGGAGGCCAACCACACTAACACTCTAGCTAATATTGGACAATCAAGCCTACATCCACTCAAAGTTGATTCCTTACCCCCTTCCAGTTTCATGTGTGCATTAGCTAACCCAATAGCTTCACTGAGAATAGCTTTCAAACACAGCTTCAACAAAAGAACAATATGACTACTCATTGCAGGATCAATTACTATGCCGAACTTAGGCGAATTTGCAATCACCCATGTTAGCAAAGAGCACATACTGATCATTTCAAGCCGCAACATAGCCCGGACAACTCTGTAAGAATAGCTACATGGAAAATCATTCCACGACTCAATTTCAGCCCTAACAGCGTATATCTCCGAAGGAAGAAGCTCTGTATGGTCAGTGGGAACGCTCTTCGGATCTATAGTACTATTTTTCCCGAAATTCGAACATTCAGATAATAAGAAACTCGGCAAAGTAAGCATTGGAGGAGAGGAGTCCTTACCGGGAAAGCTTACAACTCCGGGACAGTCGGAGTATAAGAAACTATTCAGGTCAAAACCAGAGTAGTTTTCGAGGGAAAAGCATAGTTCGGCTTCGGGATCGTGGAGAGACTGATTGAATTGGATATTGTTTCCCTCAGCAGAGGAGTGGAGGCTATGTGGGTACCGGCATGACTGAATTAGAGAATCCAATTCAGTAGACGATGACGACGGAAGGCAGTGGAGGCTGTGTTTGAATAGAGAGGGAGGCGGGAGGCGGTGGGTGGGGTTAAAAGGACAGGGGATTAGAGCGGTCGCCGGAGAGGGAAGTGTAGTCGGAAGTGTGCCGGAGAGAGAACTGAGAGTGGTTTTAGATAAGCGCAGAAGCGAAGTGAGAGTGGAGAGAGCGGTCTGGACATCAGATGCCTCGGCAGTTGTTTTGGTGGCGGGGGGAGGGACGTGAAATCCAGGAGGGAAGAAAAAGCGAGGCGTAAAATTGGTGGCAGAAGGCTGCGGCGGCGGCGGATGAAAGCCAGTAAAGGAAGGCTGTGCTGGTGGAAAAAGGTGAAAATTGCCGGCATCAGGCGGCGGCAGGGGAGGAGCAGAAGGGTTCATCTGAACCTCTATGGATGCAAAACGCACGGAGTCGGGTTAATTTTACTGGACCCAAAATACCGAGTATGCAATTGGATGTAACAAAAAAATGAAGGAATCTTCAATGGCTCTAGCCTTGGCCATATGTTTTAAGAGAAAAATAATAGATTAAGTTTAAAGTGTCTATGGTAAATGATAAAATAAGAAAGAGAGTATATTAAAAAGCGTAAAGTAATGATTTTTTATCATGATAAAGTGGGAAAGAGAAAGTAGTTTAAGTAGGAAGGGTAAAAGTAATAAAAGTGGAGGGTATTTTATCAAAAACTTTCCTAAAATAGAAAGAAGAACATTTAATAAAAACAAATGAAAATGGAACAAGAGCCAGATAATAAAGAACGGAGCGAATATTCAATAAGATAAAACATAAACTTGTATACTTTTTGCTTGAAGGGTGCATAAGATGAAAAATAATTACTTTACGAGTTTGGTAATACCAAAATCGGCTGATTCTGCTGAAATTTATGAAATTCTGGCTGAATTGGCTGAATTGGATGATTCTGCTGATTTATTACAAAATTATATTTAAAATATATTTTATTAACAAAATAAAGAAAAATTTATATGTAAAATAGCTAAAATGATCCTCAACAATAACTTCATGAAAAAATTCCACTTTTGGTCTCGTGACTATTATACCACTTCCACATTTAGTTCCTTACTTTCAGATTGTCCACATTTAGTCCGTGAACATTATCCCCTAACCACCCCTAGTCCTTCCGGCCAAAATTCCGGCAAATTTAATGCTGATTTTAGGTATCAAAAACCAAATTTAATGCAAAGACTGATATGAAAAACCCAAACTTATATAAAATTAATGCAAAGACTGATTCTGAGGTTGATAAGTAGACTAAATTTGCCGGAATTTTGGCTAGAAGGACGAGGGGTGGTGATGGGATAATGGTCACGGACTAAATGTGGACAATCTGAAAGTAAGGGACTAAATGTGGAAGTGGTATAATAGTCATGGGATCAAAAGTGGAATTTTTTCATAACTTCAGTCAATACTGTCAGAAAAGTAACTTCAACCTTACTTTTCTTATTATTACGCAAGATTGATAAGCCGAGAAATTGTGCAACCAAACGGGCTCGAAATGTAGCACTACAAGTAATAAGGATTACCACCCAAAGTGTTTCATGAGCATGTTGCTCAAATGGTTGTCAAATCAGTTGAGGATTATGAGTTTTAGTGGGAGTTTGTAATGTTTCTATATTTGGTTAACTCAAGTTTTAATGTTATTTTCTGCAGAAATAAAGTTTATAGTTTTATTGTACTCTTACGGTTATATTATTGATCTCAAGGTGGACCAGTTGGAAATAGACATTCTATTCCAGACCACATTTTATGTTATTTCCACGCTACACACCTATATTTGATCCATGTCGTTTATTATATTAATATATGTGATCAATGATGGGTCTAGTTATTCAAATATAGAAAAGACTTCTTTGGTCCTATGTTGATATAATTAATGGGCCGAATTGATTAAAGATGACTACAGTTTGATAGCAAAATTTTGGAGCTCCTAAAGTAAACATACAATTCTAAGGATTGTGTATACATGTGTATGTCGTCCAAGTGGAAGATTGTTAGATTATTGGACTTATACTACATGTAATATTCACAATATATTATTTATCGGGTTTAATTGTATGTTATATGTTATCTTATATTTGGGCCCAAAAAATTAGTGGTCCTATGGATATTAATTTAAGTGGGCTAATAAGTTATCTAATAAGGTATAAGGCCCAAATGTGTAGAGACCCATGAGCTTGACCTAATCAATGATGGGCTGATTAGGGTTAAGCACTCTCTATAAATAAGGGGTTATGGTCCCTAGTTGAACATGCCATTCAGTCTTTCTGCATCCCATCGGTAGAGAGATAATTCTCGAGGATGTGTATCAACTAGAAGACGCAAACCCTAGCCTCCGTCTCCCGGATCTCCGAAGGTCATCTCCAATGGAGTCAGGTACGCTTCCGCTCAAGTTATTTCTCTAGATAATTCCAATATGAAGATTAAAGTATTCATGGATTCATCCCAACAACGTCCACTGCCATACAGTCACCTAGCTCCCATAACAGTTCGCCCAGCTCCTTAAACAGTCCCTCGAATGCCTCACTGACTCCAAGTCCGCCACCACTTAATGACACACCATCTCCCAGCCCGCCACGGCAAGCCACCCCGGTATCTCAGTCTAATTTTCATCCTATGCAAACCCGGTCTAAGTCCGGGATTTTTAAACCTATATCCATTTTTACTTTAAACACAATTGTTAGCTCCACTGATCCTACATGTTTTTCTGAGGCACATAAACACTTAATTTGACGTGAGGCCATGGCAGATGTGTTGGGAAATTGATGTAACGTACCTCGAAAGTACAACAGCGGAAGTTTAAAATTTTCCCAAACAAATCTTCCCTGATTATGACAAAACAACGAATATGACAATAATAGTAGATCTAAGATAGAACTTACAGATCTTCCAGTCTATCGGTGATAATCCTTGACCTTAGGTATCTACGTGATTTCTCTTTTCCGAAAGAACGGTTAGATCTCCCTAAGAGAAAGGCTAGGAAATCTCTTCGCAAAGAAATAAACTGGTAATACTCAATCTGAAAAGTGGTATATCAATTATGAAAGAGAATGATGTATATATACTAGTTCTAAACTAGTTTCCCGATCTCAATGAAAGTCTTTCTCATTAATGAGTTCTAGTCCTACCAGGACCAATACTTATCATTAACGATTTTATTAATTAAATAAGTAAAACAAAATAAACTAATAATAATATCAAAGTGACTGCACGTCACTTTGCTTGTTATTATTATTTATTTCATTTTCTATTTTCTTTTAACTCTAAATTATAAAAGAAAACACCAACTTTATTTAATTAAAATTACATCTTAATTGAGTATAATAAATCTAATTTATCAAACTTAATTATTTCTATCAAATAGAACTTTCCTTCAACATGATGAATTAAATATATTAATCTAATTAATAATTAACTCATCTTATTTTCAGAATTATGAATTTAATATTATTTAATGCAATTAATAATATTTAATTCCTTCTAACAATTCAATCGGAATGTATAATCACTTGTTGTGTGACCCATAGGGCCTTATATATTAAGAACTAATTAAATTAAGGTCTTAGTAGAATCCCCAGATGATTTACCAGACAAACTTAATATATAAGGACGTTTGCGAGGACTATTCAAACTCCCTGTAATATAGAGCTCATAGTGATATGGTCCTTTCATTCAACGAACATTCAACTAAGTCTAGAACATGATATTGTGTCTATTTCAATAACTTAGTCTCTGTCTCTCAATCTTTCTAGATGATCCATAACGATTATATTCAATATCCAAAACGAATACATCTTTGCACTGGCCAATGACTTTATGATCCATCTAGATATGAGAAGTACAATGTTCTCTCTTAATCTATTATGAGGAATGAATCCTTTCTTGACACAACTACTACTCCATGTGCTTCGTGATGCACCTAACACATGCCGTATCTACCCCGATTAGAGTGCAAACGTTGGTCATGGTCAAAGTACATCACTCCGCACATGTAGTATGTATTGACCTCAAGTCGGAGGACTATTACACTACTCTATACGCCGATAATCCCATAGACACATGAATAGAACTTATCAAATTGTTTCTCGGTGGGTATGCCAATATTCTCTAAAATATCTATGTGACCATCATGAATTACAGGAACTCATAGTTGTGAGATCAACTATACTTTATAAAAGTATGATGCAGTCCACATACCAATCTCATCGCATATCATCAATATCCCATTCTCGATGATCATTGATTTGGGCTATTTTAGGACCTTATGTTATATCATATAAGCTCCCACTTACTTATTGACAACATAAGTTCAAGGAAACACAATTATGAATAAGATATTGACAATCGAAATACTTAATCATCAATGTGTAATATCGTATATATCAAATATATAAAACTGAATGTGATCAAGTACATATATTTCTAAAAAGTGATTGTCGCTAGGACATATATACTAACAAGATGAATTTAATGCATTAATCTCTAATGATAAATGGGATTAAGTTCCTTTTGATAGCTCTAAAAATGTGGTTGGGTCTAAGTGGATCTATAAAACTTGATGGGTCTATTGAGCGTCATAAGGCACATTTGGTTGTTCAAGGTTTTAATCAGCGGGCTGGTGTAGATTTTTCAGAGACTTTTAGTCCAGTCGTTAAACCCACCACAGTTCGTATTGGTCTTACTCTTGCTATTTCTTTTGGGTGGATTGTACGTAAGTTGGATGTGAAAAATGCATTCTTGCATGGTCACCTTACTGAGGAGGTTTATATGCGTCAACCGCGTGGATTTATTCATCCTCAGTTTCCTCATCATGTGTTTCGTCTGCGAAAAGCCATTTATGGTCTTAAGCAGGCCCCGCGGGCATGGTTTCATCGTTTCATTAATTTTCTCCTTACTCGTGATTTTTTATATAGTAAGTCAGATAATTCTTTATTTATTTATCGTCAGGGTCAGTCAGTGATGTATTTATTATTATATGTTGATGACATTATTATTACTGGTAATTCACCTTCTCTCGTCTCATCCTTTATTAGTCGCATAGTGTCTCATTTTGCTATGAAAGATCTTGGTGATCTCCACTATTTTTTGGGGGTCCAACCTGTCAGAAATTCCAAAGGTATCTTTCTTTCTCAACAAAAATATGTGTCTGACCTTCTCCTTCGTTTTCACTTCCACACTCTCAAGTCGATCTGTTCGTACCCCTGTTGCTACACGCACGACCCTCTCTCTCACTGGTGGTGAACTTTTAGCTGGCCCCACTAAGTATCGTAGTATGGTAGATGCATTGCAGTATATAACCTTGACACGACCCGATATTACTTATGCAGTTCATTTAGTGTCTCAGTTTATGCATGCTCCTCGTACAACTCACATGCTTGATGTCAAGCGCATATTTCGATATTTACAGGGCACTATTGATCATGGTCTATGGCTTCAGACGTCTACACTTCCCATGT